CCAACCCCCACCCTCTGTGAAACTGTGAATAACTTCTGTGCTGCCGGCAGCGACAGGCATAGTGATGTATGCTTTGTGTGCAAGGGCAAGAACAAAATTATTCTGGATTATTACAGCCAAAGAAGCATAGGAGAATGGGCACATCCATCTTCTTAGCCAAGGCATGCATGCCTAAACCAAAAAACTCCAACTGGAAAAAAAACTCTGGAAGGGCTGTGATGATAGGAGAAATGATGTTATCTCAATTTTCAAAAGGAAACTGTTTGCATGGTAAGACACAAGTTGACCTTTTAATACCTGACTGTTATTAATCAGTGCTGTACTTCTTAATTTCTTTCTTTATCCAACACAAAAGTAGTCTGCAGCTGAGCCAGGGTTCTCCAAATCCAAGGTTAATTTGGTTCAATCCTCCTTTTAAATGTTTGCTTATCTGAAGGTGTGTCTCTCATTAAGAAGGGGATCAAGTGGCTGAAAGGTAAACCATTTTGCTCTTGCTGCCTTCAACCGACTTCAGTAAGAGAAGTAGCAGAGGAATACAGTAAATCCCTAGATCTCATTAAGTGCTATCAGGAAACACAGCACAAATAACTTTCACCAGACAGCAAGGAACCTGTTGTTTTTGTTGTAATGTCAGACTGCTGGCAAATGAAGTGCTGCCTGTAATTTAGTGGTTATAAAAAATTCATTTAAAAGATGAGACTGCTAACTTTTTTTTTTTTTTAAGAGTGGTGAAATACTGAGCTAGCAAGTCTCATTTAAACACTCTTAAATATGCAAGAGACTTTAAACAACAAATCAATCTCAAACACACACTGTATAATTCTGGCATCTCTTTAACTACTTGTATATATGAAAGAGTCAAGCATGGTGAAAACAATCAGCTGTCTGTGTGCAGTCACTCGATGTGGTTAAGATAAGAGGGAAAGACAAGCTTTATGTATTTACAGAACTGCCCTTCCAAAAGTGCAAAGGTTAGCCCGGGGAGGGAAAAAAGAAACAAAAAAGCAGACAGCATTAGGGAAACATATTTCACTGGAGGAAAAGCCAAACTAATTCTAACCACTAGAGTCAAAGCAATTCACGTGTTTTACACTTGAGAAGTTGGCAACTTGATACTGTTTCCTCAATCACTAAGGGTTAGGCCCAATCTCCTTAGAAAGGGCACTCTGTTAAAGCTGAGTTTGCCAAGTCTCACAAAGTACTTACTTGCCCAATTACCCACGTGATGCTCGCAAGAATTCATGTTCTCCGTCACCCTGTGCCTGCTCCAGAGCTCAGGACCTGTCTGTCTTTAGACACCCTGAAGCTTCAGGCCCAAAAAGGAGATTGCATGCAATTACCATATGCTGAAGTACTTGGTTTTTCTCCTGTAGGCATCGCTATTCCCATCCCTATCAGAGGCATTGAAGATGGAAACAGCAACTCTACAAACATCACATGTGTCCTGATGCCTGACCGCTTTCATGACTTCATTCTATACGGGTCAGTGGCTGCATTCTTCATTCCCCTCGCTATCATGATAGTCACTTATTTTCTGACAATTCAAGTGCTACGCAAGAAGGCCTATTTGATCAACAAGCCACCTCAGCGTTTCACCTGGTCAACAGTGTCCACAGTATTTCAGCGTGACACAACGCCTGCCTCCTCACCAGAAAAGGTGGCCATGCTAAACGGCTCCAGAAAGGACAAGACCTTGTCCAACGATATGCCCATCTGCAGAACATCTACGATTGGGAGGAAGTCCATGCAAACAATAACCAATGAACAAAGGGCATCAAAAGTCCTGGGGATTGTATTTTTTCTTTTCTTGCTGATGTGGTGCCCGTTCTTCATAACAAACATTAGTTCAGTTCTGTGCAACTCCTGCAACAAGGAGGTTTTTCAAAAGCTTATGGAGATATTTGTTTGGATAGGATACGTATCCTCAGGAGTGAACCCCCTTGTCTATACACTCTTCAACAAAACATTCAGGGAGGCTTTCAGCAGGTACATCACTTGTAACTATCGGACCACAAAGCCTATCAAAGCCCTCCGGAAGCGCTCCAGCAGGATCTCTTTCAAAAATTCCGTGGCAGAAAATTCCAAGCTCTTTGTCATGCATGGGATGAGAAATGGTATTAACCCCATTATGTACCAGAGCCCAATGAGGCTGAGGAGCTCACCCATCCAAGCGTCATCAGCCATTCTTCTGGATACACTGCTGCTCACAGAGAACGAGGTTGATAAAACAGAAGAACAAGTCAGCTACGTATAGTGGAATGGCAACCGTGCCCACATCATAGTATTACTGTGTGTATTATTATAGGTAACTGTGCTGTAAAAGGGTATAAATACTATTGTTTCCTGTTATTTATGCAAGCAATATCTTATAAAGTTATATTAATTCCTCTCCTCCAACACTGCCTCTACTTTAACCCCAACCCCATGGTGGCAACGAAAACTTCATTCCATGATAAACAACTAATGCAGAACTGTAGCCTACAGGAAGGGGGTAATAAATAAAAGCTAAGTCCATTTGAGTATCTGACTTCAGTTCTCATCAACTTCAGCCTCTTCAAAGTACATTTTTATAGGAAAAGCATCTCTGTACAAACACTGCTTTAACATTCACCCTGGCAAGAAGACAGAACACACTGTAGGTTGATGCTCTACATGATCAAATTAGCAGAGGGGTACAAGCTTGCTGGCTTAAATTTAAATCCACCTTTACTCCATGCAAACGAAACGGCACACAAGCTCACTGCATTGTTCACAGACACATTCCTCTGCAGAGGCTGCATGTCCAGGGACCAGCTCCTCCTGTTCTCTGAGGGTATACGTTTCCTAAGAGTTCATCTCCATTACTCCCATACACACACAAGTTTGGGAAGGGAAATAGGATTTCCCCCAAGTACTGGAGTTCTTAAACAGTAAGCAACCAGCTCAACTTTTCCCCCCCCGCCCCAAGAGTTTCCATTTACAGTAAATTTTTCAGATCAGGCTTTGTTTTCTTTTTTAGCATTTTCAGAATTCTTCAGTTACACACTAAAATTATGTACAGCAAAAGACTTGGTTTTTATCATGTGCAGAACATAAAGTACTAAAGATAACATGTCCTTCCAACATTTATTTATACATATTTAATTTAAAACACATGCAAGTTCGAAACAGAGCCTAACGAAACAGCTGCCAGAGGGTTCCAGGAGAAAGTATTAAAAATACTTCTCTGGTACTTACAGTAGTTTGTCTCCTTCCTACCCTTTTTGGTGATCAAGTCACAAGCCACTTCAGTTAAAGTAAGCTCTAAGAGGAGTAACTCTTGCGTTAACCAAAATTTGTTTAAGAGGATCCTGTAGTTAAAAGCTAGAACTGATGGATTGCTATAGCTGTGAAACATGCCTATATCTAAAAATATTTGATATCTTACAAAAGCCTTTTATAAGACCTAGATTACTTTGACGCCCAAGGGAGAAGGGAAAGGGAATAAAACACAGCCCAAAGCCCCAAAACTTCCAGGTACGCAGGTGAAAACTTCACAGGCTGGTGTCTCATTTAACCTACAGCAGGCACTCTGGAACCAGGTACAAGTGGAATCACATCCACGCAGAGTGATCACAGCAGAAAAATTAAAAGCATCATTTGCAATGCAGGAACCAGCCTTCATGAGGAATAACACCAAATGACAAACAGGCACAGCACTGTTCTTGAGGGGTTATTTCCCAGCACCCAGACAGCAAGAAGCAGTCATCTTTGACAATCCTCTTGCTACTTAAATAAATCCATGCTGATTAAACAAGAAGTGTTCGCACAGTAGGAAGCAATCACCTACTTTCAGCAACTTAAATTTTCCCTTTCCAGTGGGAACATCACAGCTGGCTCACAACATCTGGAAAGAGCAAGAGATAAACTTAGTTCTCTTCTGTCTGACCCTGTTCTTGTACAGCTGTCAGTCTGCAATGACACAAGGAACAACTTGCTGTTAAGTGCCCCACAGAGAACAACTCCAAGGCCTCTTCATAATCAGTGGTTAGGCTCCACCAACAGGAAACAACCCCTGAAAAAAGTCTCACCCCGCGAAGATGTGTTTTGTCAAGCCAGCATACAGATTTCCCAATTTTAATAACCATAAATAGAACCTCCACATGATCCAGTTGCTGAATTTAGTCAGTGTCGTGGTTTAACCCCAGCCAGCACATCAGCAACAATAAACCTCAATCAAAAGGACTAGTGACCCATCAAAAATCCAGTCTTCCCACAGAGAAGGGAAATTTCTCCATAAACGGAAACACATCATCAAGACAACATGCACATTCCTTTTAACATACTAAGTTTCCAAAGAAATTGCTTGTCCACTGACAAAGCAAAAAAGCTAAGAAATCAGGTAACAATCTTGGCAAGGCCAGAGGGAGAAGAAAAATGAAGACGCAGACCTATGAAATAAAAAGCCAACATAACAGACAGCAGGGTTCTTGTTTTAGCAACTGTATCTACAAGAACAGATTTGAATAAAGACATTACCTTCATTATCAAGACATGATTGAATATGTGAGGGTCCCTGCAAGCTACTGTAAAGAAAGCACAAGTTTGTTGTATGGTAACAAAGGACAACACTGCTCATATGGTACTGACAAGCGAGACAAGATGCTCAGGGCGACATCGACGAGCACCATCTTTAAGTAACACAAATACGTATTTTTATATGCTGGCTGTGAGGTGAGAGTGTTTTTATAGCTTCCAGCATCCTTCATAAAGATAGAGGCCTAAATAATAAAAGGTTTGCAGAACACAAGACCTTTTACAAGGGAAAGGGGTCATGTACTTCCCATTTAACCAAAAAGACAGGCATTCCTTTCTCTGCAGTGAAATGCTCTCAATTCTTTCAGAATCTGGCTCATGCCAAATCAATCACCTGGCCAGCTCTATGGCAGCTACATACTACATAACATAATACCTTAGACAGTTACCTACTTCGACTTCCCTCATTATCACAGAAACTTTCATCTGGCATATTTAATTTCTTTTTAAATTACTAGAGAAGCGAGACAGACAAAAGTCAAAGCTGATCTGCAATGTACAAGCAGTATGGGAAGAAATACATTTTAGAAGAACAATGGACAAGTACTGGGTTTTTGTTGTTTAATTATTTAAAATACATTAGGAGATATTTAGTCAATGTTTTCACTCCCTAGCTAATTAAAAATTACAGCATAGACATGGACAGAAGGACTTCCTATAAATAGATCCACCTCATCAGTCTTGTAGACAGGAAAATAATGGAAGCATAAAGACAATGAGTGCCTTAAAATGCAAATAAAGGGAAGAGCTTAAAAAAGCCCACCCAAACTAAACAACAAAATAACCCCCAAAAGTAAACTAAAACCAAACGAGATCCCAACCTTTCAGCCACCCAAAAGAACAGAGAAGCAAGAAATTTCACTGATCTCAACTACAGTGACATAAAACATATTTTGTGAAGCCAGTCCCAAACCATTTGGTGTTCTATAAGCTACAAGCCTTCAGTTCAGAGCCTACCAGAAAACTCACAGGCAGACAGAAAAAAAAACTTATTCATCACTCATCTTGTATTCTCCAAGCGCATCTTCCTAGACACATCACCCCTGGCCATGCTAGTACCAATTCTCAAATGCATCAAAATACAGCCAAAAAATCCAACTCATCTTGTGTTCTCCAAGCACATCTTCCTAGACACATCATCACCCCTGGCCATGCTAGTACCAATTCTCAAATGCATCAAAATACAGCCAAAAAATCCAACATTAAGCAGAAGTCAAGGCCCTGAGAAGAGAGACTGATGTTGTAATGCTGTTCACCAGCATACAAGAGGCACACTGATTTCATATGGTGCTTCATAAGATACCTCATTTTCCTACACCATGTTCTTATGGAAAAATCCACAGCTCTGCAGGCTGGTATGAGAAAGCAAAAGCATTATTCCTCAATCTTTTTCTAGGCTGCCATACTTAACATCAGCCTTTAAAAGGTAAAGTAATACAAGCACAGTGAACCTGGTGGAGGCATAACAACCAACCTGGGACACTGGAACACAGAGGCAGGGCGCTCACCAGAGCTCTTCTGGCTCTTCGCCTTGCAAAGCTGTAGCCTGGAGTCCCCCAGTTCTCAGGGCTGAGTTAGTATGACCATAAAGCAGTCGATTTCCTACACCGTATTGATAAAGATGCTTATGTACAACTGCTAAGAAGCACTCCTTTGTTCAGTCTCCCCTTTGGTTCTCTAGGTAACCATCAGTATGGCAAAAACAGTCCCAAAAGCAGCAAATTCCATATTTTTGCTTTGGCATTTAGCACCAGAGTGTTTACTATCACTGTCTGTTCCTGTGAGACACAGGTTTCTCCAGTTGAAAGGAAAGGCTTTTGTCCTGCAGAACAGGAAAGCAAGCTTTTCCATTTTTAAATGGGAAGCTAATTACAAAAATAGCAAAGACAGTTTGCTGAGATGTCCATTTTTACTCTTAATAAATCATGTCAAACCCTATTTGTCTAGCAACATTTAAAATTCCTTGCATCCAGGTACTGAGGTCCTTTCCAGCTTCTGAAAGAGATCATGCTCTTAAAAATAGAGAGCTTCTTGCTTTCTGAAGGATCCTGCTTACAAATGCTCTAGACAGGTGACAGCAACTCATTTTCAACTTCATTAAACCCTGCACAACAAAAGAGCTTTGTATCCTGCAAGATGTACAACAAGACTCCCTAATAAAATCCAACAAGAAGTTTTTGTCATAAAAAAAAAAATTTCATCAACTGCATTCAATGGCTCTAGGAATCTCAGCATTTTTGATGATTTAATTTGAAATTTCAGTTGCTGAACAGTAGTTTTAAAGCAAATTCAAGGATTTGGTCAGACAGCCAGTTTAGTTATGAATCACACTGTTCAAAGTTTTAATTACTCAGTTAAAAAGCTTTAGTGTATATAAGCTGAGAAAGTGAAAATATTTTTCTGGAATTTAAGGTGCAGGGGGAACATACTAGATTGTTTTTTCTCCCTCTTCTCATGCACACTGTCATTTAGTGACCTGAAAATCTTTATATATAAGCTAATAGGCTTATTATAGGCACTATAGGCAGTATTTTCCCTGAAGGAATACTTCTGAGTTTTCAGCAGGGTAGAAGTCAGGCCAAAGAAACTATCTCAGCTTGAAACCAATCAATATTAATTTACTTATCTGTGTAGACATTCAGTTTACAGTAGGAAGTTAAAACACTTGCTCAGGTTTTCGAAAGCTCTCAAGTGATAAAAGGCTCCGAGCCCTATTTAACAAAGTAAGTAAAATCTCATGCATGCAGTCTAGAACAAAGATAAAGCAATAGCAGAAAAGAATTAATGCCAGATGTCAGAGCGCGTCGTTTGAAACAATTAATATATTGTGCAATCTGATTGTACAGCTACAATTTTCATTAGAAGTTAGATTAGTTTTGCCAGAGACGCCAAGGGACCTCTCTAGTGCACTGTGGTTTGGTCAATGAAGACACTGCTCTGTTTCAAGTTTCAGACCTGCAGATAAAGGCATTTTCAAACCCAAAAAGACTTCAGTGAAAGTTTAAGGCTTCTTCTAATAAGGTTTTTCTTACTGTTAACTTTTCACTGAAAGTGACCCTCGTTCTCCTCCTCCAGGAAGACTGAGTAAGAAGAAGATAAAATGGGTTGGAGGGTAAACAAAACCCTTTTAATCTTTCCTACGCAAGAATTAACAAGCAGGTATGTTTCAGTAAATTCCTCTCCTTCACAACACGGTGAGAGAGTCACTGGTACAGGTGCCGTCAGAGTGCCTGTTAGCTCATCCTCAATTACCCAGAAGATCTGCCTACTGGATAAAGGCAGGTTGTGAGAGTTAAACTATCCAAGTCTTCCTGGAAAAAAGCAAGAATCTGATTGTGTTTGCTTTATAACAAATATATTACACTAAAATATCAAAGGCTATGTAAACACCAAGAATACAAAAGCAGGAAACGTTACTATTTCACTTGCATCATCCTAAACCAAAGAACTAACATAAACCATGCCTGTCTGAGTAGCCTACACTTATCAGCTGAGACTACATCTTCCTCTCGGGACTCTCTAGAGGCTGCATTGTTCCCTCTCCTGCCCTTGGCCTTTTCCCAACAATACTGCACCAAGGCAGAAGCAGCATTCCACAACCCTGTCCTACTTCTCCATGCTCTTATTCCCCTGGACTCAAGAACTGCTGCGCAAGAATTAAACCTTTCTTAGTTCACGCTTTCACGCGCTGTTGCATCCCACACTGAAGCCCTCTCCCTAGCCAGATTTGTAGTATCTACAAAGCTCCTCATTTCATACATAAACTGAAGGGTTTAGATACCCCACGACACTGCTCTAACGTGTAACAGTATAAAAACAAAGCTGACTACATAAACCAATCACATCCTACTGCAATAGAAACAAAGATCAATTAATGATCTAAAGTAGTAAAAATTCAGATAAAAGTAATTCTTTCCATTTTTAAAAACACTTTCAATTCATTGTGTTTTCCATCTCAATGTAATAGTCTTATAAAAAAAGGAAAAGGCCAACCAGAAACAACAAGCGCCTTAAATGCTGTTTTCCAACAGCCACAATAAATATTTTATAAACCACTTCAGTAGAAAGGACTAATATGTAAACATCAGCAATAAGGTAAGTTCGCTTTCTCCGATCACTGGCAACACGATCAGGACTGGGAGAACAGAGACACATTACAGTAGCCAAATCAATACATCCCTTCCTTTCTTGCTATTTCACAATACAGGTTCTTGCAGAGCCCTGCATCCGCACTGCCATCTCCAAACATCTCCAGCTCTATTCATGCCTCTACCATTTTACAATATTTCACTTAAAAGCATCTCCTGTAAGAGGTGCTCATTTTTTAGAAGAGAGAAGATGCAAAAGGTCTCAAGTTTTTATGCCACACTATTTTGTCTGTCTTCCTTGAAAGAAGACTGTTTAAAAACTCTCTTCTTTTTTTCTCCTTAAAAACTATCTCTTGCACCAGAGCATTTTCTGATCATTAATCACAGTGACATGAAAACGATCAGTCACAAAATACATAACTAGTGCCTAATTTCCATAAAGCATTAAGCCGAGAGGGGAAAAAAGCCATACTAAGTCCTACAACCAGCAAGTTGTCCTTTCGATCCCCAGCCTGCAGACCTGGGAACTGCTGGGGAACAGCCGACAAAACCAGAACTAACAGCAGCAACGCTGCTGGCCAACAAGCTTCAATTCTACACGTGGCCCCCTGGAAAGCTTTAGGGAATCCAAGAACAGAACACGAAGTTAGTTTAGCGATGTAAGAGTAGGACCCCTGAATGCAGTCCAAGCAGTAGGGTTGCTACTGCTTTGCTCCCTAGAGCGACTCTCCTGCAGAAGCTCACGCAGACAGGTAAGCATGTGCCCAACGGCCTAACTGCTACAGCAGCTTCACCCCTGCTCCCCTAATCTCACCCTCAACCTCCTGCACCACAGCTGATGTTTGGAGCAACGCAGAGTCCATCAGACAGTTCCCACATGGCTTACCCTCCAAGGACCACAGCACTTGCTGAGCAAATACAGCTAGTCATCCGGCTGCAGAAGCAAGAATTTCAGCAACTTTCACCTTTGCTCCAAGCAATAAAGACCACTTTGGAAAAGAATGTAGGAAAAAAAATCCTGAACACTGCTGAAAGTGCATTTTAACATTTTTAAAGTTATCTGAGGAAAAAAATATCGCAGATACAAAAAAAAACCCCAATTGATACTAATTTAGAGAGAGCCATAACTACAGGCTGTTTTCACTTGATATGTTAAGGAATACAGAAATTGCCTTAAGGAATTACATGCTAAGGACAGTACTGAATGGTGTAACTGGGTAAGTAGATATCTTTCAGAGCACACAAGGAAAAAATAATGTTTCTTCTTAGGCAAAACTTAATAACCCAGACTAGAACATACTACCTAAACCTCGATCCATGAATTTTGAACACTGGAGTAGCCACATTCATTCTTTTGTACACTTTTTCAGTAATTAAAAAGTGTGTGTGTGTGGGAAAATATCTAAAAAATGTCCATGGTTAAAACAAGTTAATCTTCAAGCTAAAGCAAAACCTTGTTGCTTTAAAAATTAAACGTTGTGTTTTATTACATTACATTCTACCACACTTTACTCTGTTACTGTGCTGCTTTTGTTAACCGTAGCCATAAAAGCCAAACTGGGCTCGTGAATGTACACAGGATTGCATGTGTGTGCTAACAAGGAAGACTCACAGAGGTAAACAAGGACAGAAAAACCTTACAGAATGTTCTGCTATGCAAATGTATTAAATAAAAATAGCTGGCTTTGTGACGTTTATGACACTTTTAGTTCAAATCCAAGAGGAAGAACATTTATTCACAGATAGCTACAACAAAACGAGAAAACAAACTAGGTATTTATGACTCCAAGTGTATTTGTGCTGTGGCACTGCAGAGCTCCAGCTCTGTCATGTTCACCAATGGTGCTTTTAAGGAAACTACCACCCTCTGACTCTGTAACCTCTACCCTTATATGGCTTTTATTATTCCTATAGGAGGAACAGACAGCAGGACAGTCTGTGCACACTCCTGCTGCTGCAGTGTACAACCCAGCAGATGAACTTACACCTCCCGCACGCTCAGCCCTACAGCATGGCATGAATTCCCCCAGGAAATTGTAGACCACACTAAACAAATTTAATCTCTTATTTCAATCCTGACTTCAGAGTTCCCTTTCTGGAACCACATATAAAGAATTCAACAAGACCTCATAGGACCTTCAGTCGTGTTTCTCCACCTAAGACGAGATTAATTTTGGGGGCTTAGCCCACGGTGTGACAGACCTGCTCTCGTCTCATCACAAAACACCTCATTCAAAAGCTCTGCATACCTAGCAGCTGACAGATCACCAACTCTTTAAGACAAGTAAATCCAGTTAGACTTCAACAAACAGCAATCCTAAGAAATAGATGTCATTTTAGTTATGAAATCTGACAAACTCAAGCCCTCTTGCCCTTTATGTCTCCACATGCCTGCAGAGCTGAGATGGGCCAGAGCCCACAAGGCGTCCTAACTAGCAGCTGCAGCAAACAGGAAAGGTGAATGTAAAACCAGCTCCTAGATCCCTACACCGATGGACAGTATTTCTTTCCAGGAGCTGAAACACAGCTTTCGGTTTATAATTAGTCATGCAGGGGGTGATCTGTGGGGCCTTCTCAGCAGAAAATCCCGTCCATCGCTGCGTCTGGGCGAGACAAATCAAGGGCTCCCTAAAGCAAAACAACTCATCACAAAAAATCTTGCAAGTGAAAGGTGTTAGCAATTACAACAGCCTAACACAAGCCTTTTGCCTCTAGAAGCCAGTGATAATAGACTAAAAAGTTTCGAGTCCTTTGCTACCGAGCAAGGTGGACACTGGGATTTATAAGGAAACGTTCCTCCCTATTGTGCAAGCAGGTTTTGGACTGTGCCCCGCCAGAGAGAGAAGGGAAGAGGCAGGCTAAGATCTGAACCCCTGCAGTGGAGGTAAAAGAGTCAAAGATGACATCACTCATTTTCACACTGCTGGATATGGAGTGAACAGGCCCAGAACTATCTTGCTCCAAGACGCCAGCACACAGTAAGTGGTTTAGCTCAGAGCCTTGAAAGCTTCTCATTTTGGTAGGAGCTATCAGTGTTCAATTATGGCTCGTATTTGTTGAAAAGACAAATGACACTGAAATCAGAGATCAAAAGTGCTTTGTCACAACCTGTTTGGAGAAAAGATGCCTGAAACTATGGAAGGCCTGTGTGGAATTTTCCTTTTGTACACACATGCAGAAGCCAGTTAAACAGACCCTTTGGCTGCAGGAGCGGCACAGATCGGTATGCAGCAAGGAATGATCTGTGCTCGCTGAAAGCAACAGAGCAGATGCTCTTGAGAGACGCCTGCTGCCCACAGAGAGAATCAGTTGTGAGCTACATTTAATTGCTGCCAGAATATGCTTCAGATGAAACGGATGGAGTCATTTGTATGCGAAGAAAAACTCAGCTAATGATCAACTGACTTGTCACATCAGTAACCCATTTTTTTAATACCAGCTTTAAGCACATCTTATTCTGCTTTTTAGGATAAATTTAGACTGCCACTAACCCAAAGATGTGAACAAAGATTTTAAAATTATAGTCCTGGATCCGAGTATGCACTACCTCCTCTCAGACACACTCAAAGGCTGCAGCTGGCTCAGTGCTCGGGCTCACAGATTACTCTATTAACAGATGAGGATTTAGTCCCTGGGGAGCCTTCCAACTCCCCAGTCTGATAAATAAAAACCCAAACACCTCTTACCTAGGGAACAATAAAGCACTATAAAATACCAGTTCAGATTTCACTTTAGACAGTCAAAACAAACGTCACGACTATTTTGTGATGGGCTTACACGACCACAACGTAAGCCCAGTAACCTGTCACAGTTTCACAGTGGATACTTAAAAAAACAAAGACTAATTCAACATCCTTCTTCAGGTCATTTCTACCAAAGTCACCACCCCTAGAAATGTTTTAGATGACAATTAGGCATGCATACTTGTCTGAGTCCTGCTGCCTTTAAGAGAACTGGCACAAGCACTGTATAGTTAATTTTTAATTAAGTCTCAATCCTGCAAATATTAATTTTTCATTCTATTTGTCAACAACTTCTAACTCTATTCAGACAATTAAGCTGTAAGTCCGGAAACCTACAGAAAGGCTCATTAAGCGTCTGCTGAACATTAAGGAAAGCATCTAATTCTGGACTAAGGTTCATTCTCCCTCCATTTTTTTACTTTTCAACTGCCACTCAGTTAGCAATTGAGTCATTTTGTGGATGCAATAGCACACAACACTTCCTGAGAATGTAACCGACAAACTGAAGGCTGTGGAAGAGACCAAGGAAGATACTGTACCTGAACAGAATGAAGCCAAGTGACTCAACAGCTGCCCGCCTCACGTCATCATTCACATCACTCACCTACAAAAGGGAAAAGGGGACATTCAGAACATAGTTCAAATACTCGAGGACTCTGCAATGTTTCAGGCCAGGTGTCAGGCACACAAGTTAAATAAGAAAACAGGCTTATAGAGGAAGAAGGATAACAATCATTTTCAGCCTTAGCTAAAACAGCCTCACCCTAGTTCACACACATTTGTGATACCATGTTGAATATTCTCTTGCTAAAATCTACTTATCCTGATGTCAGAAGACCTTGTTATTTCTACTCACAGTATTAAGGAAACCTTTCATCACTTTACAATCTCTGCTTTGGACCAGAACATTAACACTGTAGAAACAAAGCCTGTCAGAGAGATGTGCTTACTGTCTACCCACAGATTTCCTGCCATTTGCTCCTAAGCCCACAGTACTTACAGCCACATGCAGTAGGCGTCTGATGGCCTTGTTGTTCCCTGAGCCACAGTATGCCATAGCAACAGTGTACATGCCAGAACGACGGAGAATTGGATCCTGGAAGAGAAAGCATCAATATTTAACAACCATCCAAACAGGAACTTGATAACTCTGACTTTAAATCTGCTCCACTCTTGGGCCTAGAACCTGCAAACAGGTACCCTCAGTGCCTAACTGGATTTTAGGGATAACAGGACAATCACCAAAGCAGGGCTGTCATTACTGATTTCAAGGGGACAGAAAGTTGCTATGATGCAGGCTGCCAAAAAGAGTATCTGGCAGATAGGTCATTCTGCTCCTCATTCATTATTTGATATCGACCACTACTAGATCCTCGAGAATGACCCCCTACAGCAAGCCTCATCTGTTTTTAACCATTACACCTTGTCCTGCTCCTTGTTGCTGCTTACAGGTCTATAGAGAGAGAGTATGAGGCTAAAGAAATACACAACTAAGCACTGTTATTCTTGTATTTTTGATCAGAGGGAAGCAACCTGTGAAACTGCCCCACTTCAGATGTATGGAAGAACTTCCCTGGTTAGAAACAGCCAACCCACAGAAACTGGAGATTTCACAAAAGGACAGGGAGGTCACCCGCGTAACAAAAGGGCCAGGGATTTACTGACAGCTAAATTTACCTTATCTCTGCAGAGACTCTCAATGAGAGCATCTGCCTCCTCCATCCTCCCGTACATGACCAGAGCAATTCCAACCGCAAGGCCTCGCAAGATCTTTTCATGCTGAGTTTCTTGTGCGTAGCCAACCATGTCCTCAATAGCCTGAGCATTTTTAGATCCCAGCATAACCAATCCCAGTGCCAGGCCAGCTGCCTCACCTGCACAGCACAGAAAAGCAAAACATCAACCAAACTCTGTTCCCAAAGGCAGTAAATATTGTACCTACAGAAGCACACAAGATGTAGGCCAACAGATCAGCTCTGGACACCACCATTCCCAGCAACTCCATTATTCATGGCCAAATGTGCTCGTAACAATAACCTACCAGCCATAGCTTAGTACTCTTCCCTACCAAGTTCAATTTTCTCTTCCTCGGGCCAAGAGCTGCTGAATTTTCCTGTGAACCCCTGCCCAGGCAGCAGTAGCCCCCACAACCTTCTCCAAGCCTGTCTCTCAGCCAAAAAGGGCACATGGCTATGGAGATCAACCACACTAAATAAAAAGCATCTGACAAAAGAAAGAATAGAGCAAAATAATGGACTGTTTAAAGACTTAGCATGTCTTACCAATATTTGGCAGTGTCACAGACCAGTCCTGACAGGACCTCTGAACCTTACTGCCACATAACTACAGAATCGTGCTGATGAGGAAAAGGTCAGCAAATCAAACGCAGCTAAGGCAACCGAGAAGTGAACTATGCTGCCAAGAGAAAGCACGAAAACAAAAACCCCAACAGATGTCTGGTAAGGCCTCTGATCGTTATTTGCTTTGAAAGCAGAACATTTACCTGTCACTGCATCATCTTGGTATAGATTTGTTTTCAGCAAATCGTACACATCTTGACGTGCTGTCCCCATGGCAGCCAGACCCAGACCCAGGCTGCCACCATGTCGAACAATCTAGAGAAGCACATGCAAGTAAAGTCATTATAGAACGGGGGACAATATAGCTGCAGCTGAAGTAGATATCTTTATATTGATATAAACCTGCAAACTTTTAGACCCAAACCAGCTAAAATGATCCCTTGACCTGCTAGAAATACCACTTCCACTGTCTCGGGCAGTAACCCTGATGAAAGAGGCAGAAAGCAGAATAAAAAGGCAGTTCCAAGTCTGTAAAGAATGAGTATGGGAAGCTTTTCACATAGCACAAGAGACTTTCTAACATCTTTAAGGTCTTTTCCCACTGATTTACGTAAAACCATAAATCTATGCCATGTGTAAAAATTGCTGCCTAGTAATAATAGCTTTTGAATAGAATGGTAAATCGGTACCCACTAAACAGTCTAGATCCTCTTTTGTTCTAACAACAGACACAGGAAAGGCAGTACATCTGCAGCAAGACAAGGGGATCCATTCACAGAATTTTTAAAAATGCAGTCTGAAATTACCCAAAGAGAGGATGGGAACATGCTGGGAAAATATTAATCGATTAAAGGGAAGTTCTGTAGAGGTCTAAAAACAGTAAGAGATAAAGTAAAACACTTCTTTTTGTGGAAGATGCATTAAACCTGCAGGACAGCAGAAGCATTTCACGGCTTATTCCTTTAACAGATAAGCTGTAAGCAATAACAGTGCCTGAATACTGCAAGTCCTCTAGCAAAACAAAGTAGATTCTTAAGTAGAAAGAAAATTGAAGCTATGTCAAATACATAACAAGCTGTTTTTCAAGGTTAAGTAAGATTTTTAGGAAATTGTTAAAACCAGACTTCAAATTTAAGGCCCTCAGGAGGTGTGCCACACCACTGCCACAGTCTTACTTATGTCTAACCCCTGCTTCTAAACCAAGTATCACCCTTCTGTTTATCTCCAACAAAACAAAGGTTCATTACTGAACCCAGTACGTACATCATTACTGGCATTCTTCAGCTGGTTCAGCAAGTAGTCGATGATGTCCCCACCATGGTTAGCATGAATGAGACCCAAGGCATAGAGACCGCCGCCTTCCTGGTAGGCCGACCCTGGAGAGGTGTCCTTGGGGAGGTACGTTGCCATGAGCTGTAACGCTTCCTTCTCGTGACCCTGTATGTCCAGTGACCAGCAGGAAGGGAAGACAGCGGGAAGTGAGAGGTCAAAAAACAGTAGATGCAAACACTCCATGTTACTATTTAAAAAAAGCCAGGAGCCTGGCTTTTGTGACACAAAACAAAGCCTTCTTGCTATTTCAAAGTAAGAAATACCATCCCTGTGAACGAATGAAGAAAATGACCACTGCTTAGGTCACCATTCAAACTTACTGAAACTTACTACAGTAAGGACTTTGGTACTGTCCCAAAAGGCAGGAAATACGCTTAAGAAATATACACCTACAATTTCAATAGCTAGAAACCATTGACTGTGTTCAACTCAAAGGAAGAGAAGAACTAGGAAGACTACTCTCTCCTTGTGCTGTGTTACCCTAACACCTTTTTGATGATCAGCAAAACATGCCATAAGCTAGATCAGATATCAGATGAGATGAACTTGGTAAAGCCTTTCCTTAGCACAAGACACACTGTTACAGCTGTGCCTTGCAACAGACTAGGTACACAGAGTGCAGGCATCCATCTGAATCCCCCCTTCAGTGTTCCCAGTGTCCACGAGCCAAGACTTCATACTGAAGAGAGGAATGAACGCAGCGTTACCTTGTGGATAACACCCAAGCTGGCCGTAGCAGTAAACTTAGCCCAGTTAGTGGCCCTGGCCAGCCACTCCAAATTGTCTCTGGAAGACAGAAAGAGAAAGGTTATACAAAGTTTTTCATACAGCCTATTCCTTGCCCTGCAATTAAGGCTTCACAGCACTAAAGACTGCTTTCAAACCAGAATGTAGCTCCAGAAGGCAAGAAAGCTAACTGCATTTCCAGTCTGTACCTCTTTCCCCTTCATCAGCCCTAATTTTTGGCTGGTAGTAGTCAAGCTCCTGGACACTGGTCATCTCAGTGAAAGATGCAGAACAACTGCTCAATATGTAGCCCATCCTACAAGTTTCTCCCAAGTTCCCTGGGAGAAACTTGAGCAGAGCTTCTGAAGCTTTCCTCAAGTCCCTAGTAAGGTCAGTCCTGACACTTCCCTTTCAAGAGCCATTCAGCACTGTCAGTATCTACCAAAACAAGATGCATCACCATCTCAGAAATTCTCCAACCAGTAAACAAGGAGAACAGAAATTCCAGATGCCCACCCTCCAAACTGCTCACATGGTTAGCATTCAGATAAAGCTGATCTGTGATGACAAAGAAAAGGGAACAATTCCAGATTCTTCCCTCTGTCTCCACATTAGTTTTCAAGTCCTTTGTTTATTCTTCTCTAAGCCCAACAGAGTTCTGCCACCACCCCTCTGGAAGCGTCAGGCTAAGCAGGGCAACAGTGCTGTTCAACACCTCTAAATGACACTGGAGCTTCCCTGCCATAGATTTACCTAAGGAACTGGTCACTGGTAGTACCACAGTGCATAAAGGAGTTCGCTATAACCGTTGCTGTATGACACACGGAATTCCGCACTGCATCCTAGAAGAACAAAAACAATCACTATCAGCAGCCAGCAAAAGACATGCCCTAGGTCACTTAACATGCCTGCCAGTACATGAGATAAACGGGTTGTAATTAGGTTCAATTTAACCAGCAATTTCCCTTTAATCAAAGTTAATAGATTGTTAATACATTCTAATATATCCTCAACTCATCTTTCCAGTCCAAACCAATCCTTTCTATGAGTTTGAGATGTGATTACTTCAATTGCAGCTTAACTGAAGAAACCCCCCCTTCTGGTTCCCAGAACCCCCGAGCGTGCACTGCTGATGTTTTCAAGCCATCCCTGGAATGCTATGCAGGATCACTCCCAAGCACTTAACCAGCAGATGAAGAAGATTTTTCCAAGACACATGAAATGCCTCCTGAAATAAATGATCCCACTGACAAGGATTCCCTACCATTTTTGCTGATGACACGCATCTCATTTTACACACAAAAACCTTCTCTGATGGTTTATAATAATCATTTAGCTTAAAGAGAGTCGAATTTACCTGTAAGTTTTCATTTGCCTGTCCTTGAATAACACCTTCCAAAACCAAACCAGTTGCTCAATTCACTAGCACTGCCTGCACTACCTGTCTTCCATGTGGAAATATTAGTCTCTGAGCATGTATCAGGATTTCTATAGCCAAGCCGTAGGTGTTGTCTCACATAACACCTTAACCAAGACACCAACAGACTGAAACCCACAGTTCTGGCTGACTCACTCCACCCCTAACCAGCAGCATTTGCACTGGGTCAGTCATGGAGCTGGAGGGTGAGTTTGTCCATCTTACTGACCAGATGGAAAACAAACCCATAAAAAAAACAACGGGAGAACTGACAAAAAATACACCATGCTAATAGCAGCCTGTCCTTAGCTCATACTAACTGTAAGTTGAAACAATCTGATTATATGGCCTTCTTTGGGTGTCATCAGCTCTTCTTCTGCCTCACAGGTTAAAGTCTTAATTGTTAATTTATCATGACCAAAACACAGGTTTGTAACCTTGAATCCCAGGAAGGCCACACTAAGAACGTAAGATGATGTAACAGCAACACAGTCAAATCCAACGCAAGATGAATTAGATGAATCCAAGACAACCATATCTAACAAAGCCTCTTACCTTTGTGTTTTTGAGGATCATGAGGTCTGTATTGTTGTTTCGTATTAAAAACTGCAGATGTAACTCAATAGCCATTTCCCCACTTAAAATTTTAATCATTTTTGAGATCTGGTCCTTAGGCTCTGGGTTCTTCACATACAAGCAAAAAGAAGAAAAAATATGAGAACCCAACTACGTCTCTCAAAATCCTCTTCATGAGAAGCCACTCTGGTATGTTCCCATCATCATATTCCAAAATCTATCAGGTTTTAGGACTAAAAGGAAATTGTTTCTGCCCTTGCCACACAAGCCCAAACCTCACAGACTATTAAGTCCCTTTGTGCACTACAGTGCAAGGGGAAGAAGAGACTCTTTGAAAAGAAAATGACTCTTTCATTGAAAGCAAAAGGATATGAGTGGCATCTGACATTCTTCAAGCTGCCATGTCTGGCATTACAGATACAATGCATCTCCTTCCAGAGGCAACCACTTTGATAAATGTGAACCTGCATTTCCAGGGAAGTTTTAATGGAGAGGATAACAAAATCACAATACTTAGCATGACGCTGTTGACCTACATCATCATTCTTGTGAGCTAAAGGCTTTCTTTAGAACAATGGTTAGCAGAGCTAGGAATCTAATACGTTCATCTTCCAGAGCTCTCTGAGAAAGCCTCATTCTTCCCCACCATGCAACGGTTTCCACAGTTTAAGTCCGAACTGAAGTCCGTAGGGTGACAAGTACACTGCAGCTCTTTGTACCAGCACTGTTAGCTGGTCAGAGACCAGCCAAGTATGAGTTCAGCCCTTACACTAATCCCCTCGATTCCTCTGTAGTCAGCATGGTGAATTGTGGAAGTTCAAGAACGTTTCTGGCCACAAAGAGCATTTTTTATGTACCTGCCCCTTGGCACAATCAGCAATGCCAATCCAGCAGAAATTGATTCAAGATGCCTTTCCTGCACAAAAACACTGTTCACAGGTTCCTTGATTTGGCAAAAGACTTCACCTCCTTTCTCTTTCCTTGTGGAATATAATTTCAAGAAAACACTTCTGTTCACCTGTGATTAATCACAGTATTGTCCTTTTTAAGTGATCTGCAAGAATCCCTCAAAAATTCCCATCTAGTTTACAAACATACACCATGGGGAAAGAGCTAAAAAAAAACCCCACCACCTTGTCTTGGGTTTTACTTTCTTCTCTCATGGCATTTCCCTTTCTCAGTATTAAAAGTGTCAGCATTGCATTACCTGTTACTTCTACATCAACAGAAAGCCAACACATAAGCCAAATCCTTCTGTTTTTTCCCTTTTTTTGGGCTCAATAATTCTCAATTAAATCTACCCACTTCCCCCTCTCCTCCTGCTTCCAGTATCTGAACTGCTAGACTTTCAGACTGGCAGGTATTTGATTCTCAGAGAGCGTCTATCACCTTGTCTCCAAACAAGACAAGTAGAACTCCACTCTTTCTTAGCCAAACCAACCTAATAGCCCTGGAGATTCAAACAGAACACATCAGAAAAACTAAGCAAGGCATATTTTGGAAACGGCACTCACAATTTCTGCAGACTTCCCTGCACATGTGCTTCCTGGTTTCTCTTCTGCTTCCATAGCATCACTGAAACAAAATTTAAATAAAAAATGCAACCCAATTCATCACTCGTAACTAGCCAAGCACTGTAATTATGGCTAACACTGTCCTGAAGGAGTAAGCTGGGATTTGGAGACGACTGGAAACAGGACTTTAACAGAACAAGGGCTGACTATCTGGAGATCACCGCTGAGAAGCAAACTCCTCCCCAGTTCAATTTTCAGGGAACTCGGAGACAAAGGCCTAGAACACCCCACCCTCCTATTCCATCTAGAGATTTTTAAAAAAAAAAAAAAAAGTGCTTGTAGGGAATGAACAAGCAGAGACAGGTGAGAAAACAAGGTCAAGAACTAGGCAGCAAGGATAATTATGTCCTCACCCAGAAGCCTTGAGCTCATCACTATCTAGGAGTGCTAAAATGGAAATGAAAGCCATTAAGATGTTATTAGCACCTTGTCCTAATGCTTCACAGCTTTACTTAGAAATGATTCTGTGCCTCTCCTTTTATTTCACTGGAAAAGGAGAGGAGAACACTTGCTATGCGCCTAATCACCGATCAAAAGCATTGAGACCCAGTTCCTCACAGCTGCACAGGCCCCTGTATTTAACCAGCCCTGACCTAGGCAGCAGTCTCCAACACACACCGTCAAGGACAGTGCAGGGATCAGGGTGTGTACTGACATGACAGCTCTGGTGATAAAGAGCCGTTGGCACACAAACTTCCTCCATGCTACCCCTGAACTGGGCAGCTGCCTTAGTCTGGATTGGCCAATCCTCTAAAAACAGAGGTTTAAAGCCAACCTATCTATGCCAAGCTGGGAGCCATCAAAAGAGAAAAATAAAGATGAACTGGTTAGTGCCAACTTTGGTTCTCTTAACAGAGGCTTCCTACAGCTAAGATGCAGTGATGCTGAGCACAGAACAAGTTTTATAAGTAGGAACTTTAACAAAACTCAGACTAGATTTGAACTAGCTCTTTTTAACTGCAAGTACAAAAGGGTCTATAATACTACAGTGTCATCTGAGCTCACTCTTCCCACAAGCTACAAGGTGAAACCCAACTGGCATATAGCTGCCATGAGCTTTTTGCTTGAACTCTCCTCCTCCTTAGCTTTACCAGTTGCTACAAAGACCACACAACATCAGTGCTCCCAAGCAATTCACAGGATGGCCTAATGAATTACTCCTCCCCTAAGCCACAGTAACAGCACCACGCTTACCTCAACTGCAAAGGAAAGTGCATTCTTTCAAAGAACAGTGGATTCTGGTAACATACAATTTTATCCTGAGCAAACAGTATGTCTTGTCTATTACCCTGACTTAAATTAAGGGATAACTTCATTGCTTGTATTGTACGTATACGGATGCCCATACACAGAACAGGAGGCTCCATCAGAGCAGGACCGTAACCGAACAATTACGCCTCTTCCCAAGCCAATCTCCTCACCTGTCTTTCTCCGATCCAGGGACGGTGCCGGTGTTGGTGGATCCAGGGACAGAGGCGATGGGAGTGCCAACCGTGCGGAGATTCTGGATCACAGAAGACAAGAACTGCTGGCTAGCACTTTCATACAGATCAAAGCAAATTTGGTAGGCCATGAGAAGGTTATCTTCCTTCACCAGTTTTTCCAAGATGTCGCTCACAGCCTGTGGGTCATCCAGGAATATCAGGCACTGAGAGGGAAGAAGAGAAAAAAATAAATCAGAAGACAACATTATAGACTTCAGAATAAAAAGGCAACACTACCTGAGGTCACACCCCATTTTGCCCACTCCCTCATGTGCTGCTTCCACAGAACACCCCTTCAAAGAAAGAAAGATTCTGTCATAGGAGATATATGAACTTCATAAAGATCTACTTTGAAGAGTTTTCATGGGTCAGTTTAAAAATGAGATCACATATTACAAATTCAAGACATAACATTCAAGCCTTACTATTTCTGCAGCTTTATCTTTGGAAGTTGACAAAAGTACATTAAACAAGCATCAGTCATTTGGGTAAGGATGTCAGCTAAAACGGAACAGGCGTAACAGTCCTGAGTCACGTGTACGTGGCACACCAAGACTGGCAAAGGCCTGTGAACATCTGAGCAACTTGGAAACTGTTTGTCTAAACACACCCAAACCAGGGCTTACCAAAACCCAAAGCACTGTAAATGCCCTTTTGAGGCATAAATGAAATTCCAAGCTGTGAATATACCACCTGATACTCCCTACACAGGCTTGGAATATTCTGTCAGTTGTCTATGTCCCCAAGCTGCCTTTGAACGTGTTTGTTTCTCTGTAAACTGACCAAGTGACATATCTGCATCTCTTTTTCAAAGTTGATCTCCCTTTGATATGTATTTGAAGCACAGAACCAGGAAAGTATATTTAACAGAATAAAAAAAATAGATCAGGTAGATGTCAAGTCAAATACATCTGAAGACAAGTAACTTTTGATTGATCTTTAAATATCACGCAGAGTTTTACCTGGCACACGTTGATGAAGTCTGGTTTCTCCAGATTCATGTAGATTTTAACTAGAACTCTCAAGACCTTATTACGGAACTGTTTATTCTGCATCAAAGACATACAGAGCTTCAAGCTGTAGGCTAGCATCCCAGGAACATCGTTCTGAAATTCAATTCAGGGATATCAAGTCTGGGTTTGGACTGACAAACAGGATTTAGAAATTAAACCAGAGCTACCTCCTTTCTGTTTCAAAAAGCAGAGCAAACAACATGCACACATAAACCTTCCTAGTTTCATTTCCCATTTTCAGAAAAGTTTATAAGCAGGTGTACTCCAGTTTAACCAAAAAATACTATCAAAAATGTACAGGACCAACATTTAATTCAGTAGTTAAAATATGCAACAGATTCATTTAAAAGTTCAATACCTATTTCCCCTTCTTCACCATTATTTGAATAATCATTCTCCAGTGCAGTAAAATTCACAGCACTAACGTAAAATGTCAGCAAAACAAACCATGCATCAAGAAAATATGGCCAATGCACCTACTTCTTCCTAGAGACTGAGAAATAGATTTGGTTACTAGACCTCAGAAAGGGAATTTGAATTGAGGGGTTTATAATGGGCTATTAAGTTAATAAATACTCAGGACAGCAAACAGAACAGAGAAATCAAGACAGATGCCTGTGGTTATTACTCCCATATACAGAAATGGGAGACATCCAAAAATACGGGAAAGCTGTAAATTTGAAGGATTTAAACCATATGCCTGGCATATGACAGAGATACTGCAAGATTACACACAAGCCCTGAGCTGCTGCAAGCGACTACTCTGCTCTTGTGAGACCCCACCTAGAGTGCTGCGTCCAGCTGCGGAACCCTCAACATCAGAAGGATATCAACTTGTCGGAGCAAGTTCAGAGGAGGCCACAA